GCGGAAACGTTGGGGGTGGAGGACTTCATGTACAGTATCACAACAACGTGTATAATAGTGCTCATAGTAAAAACAACCACCATATATATAATTGCAAAAGTTACACCAAAGTATATGTTTATATGTTTCAAAAGCAATTACATTATGATGACAAAATAAATTGTTGATGGTTTAACGTCCCATCCTCAAAACGATGAAGTTTTCCTATTTCACTGATTTCCTGAGAATACAAGTAGTTTTAAAAAGTGTCAACACAAAGGTTGGTGAGTTAATAAGAGTTTTGTTTGAAGTAGAAACCGTTTTCCTTGTAAATTCGATATAGTTGATTTCCAGAAAATCCAATTTTCTTATTAAGTATGAATAGAAATATTCCTATATGATGCATTAATGAATCCTAGAATGACCCGTAGAGTTCCTCTATAATCGTCCAACGTATATAAGTTATATAAGGTTTAAATTAGATAACGTTGAATTAGTGGGTCTGCCCTAGGTCCACAACCAAACAAGGAACAGGAGATGAGGCGGGCACCACCAATTCTAGGCCAATCAAGACTAAATTCTTATATGACTCAAACATATACGCTCAGCGACTATAGTTGAAGTCTAACAATTTTGGATGAAAAATAGTTTGATTTCCAGAAAATCCAATATTTTCTTAGTTAAGTGTGAATAGAAATATCCTACATGATGCATTAATGAACCCTAGAGTAACCCGTAGAGTTCCTCTATAATCGTCCAACGTATAAAAGTTATATAAGGTTTTAAATTAGATAAAACGTTGAATATAGTGGGTCTGCCCCAGGTCCACAACCCAACGAGGAACAGGAGATGAGGCGGGCACCACCAATTCTAGGCCAATCAAGACAAAATTCTTATATAGGACTCAAACATGTACGCTCAGCGATTATAGTTGAAGTCTGACATTCTAAATTAGAGGAACCGAGTAATAACAAGTATTGACCATATTAAAAGTATAAATGTGGTTTCAAACGATGTGTAATCGTAACTACCAAAACCAGAAGTGTACAGTAATATCTGTACTCATAGAGATAAAAAGGTGATTTTAAATCGACGTAAAACTCATTTAGGTTTTAAAAATAAAATCCCGTAAACTTATGGATTGCTATATCCCTATGTGAGTCGCTATAATCATACTATGACTATGTGAACTGCCACGACGTTCTCAGTGTCGAAAAAATGAAATGACATTTGTCACCCGTAGACCTGCAGGTCCAACTGTAGCTAGCAGCAAGGTGTGGGGTGTCAATCCCAATATAGATCTATATACAAGTATCACGTTCTCCCTCAAGGAGATTCTGATTATAACTACCAGGAATTATATCCCGCACTCGGACGTACGGGGAGAGAGAGAGAGAGAGTCTCACAATATAGGTTAACAAGTTTACGTGAAATGTGTGTGAATATAAATATTTCTTGTATGAATGTACCCTTCTTGTACTAGTGCGTTGAGTGATGTATCATAAACTATACCTATTATAGTTTATCTAAAATGTATTGTAATATGAATGGACTCTTTTATGGGAGTGTTAGTGTTATGAATTTATTCAAACTATACTTTTTATAGTTAAATAATACGTGTTCCAAAATGAATGAATAATATTTAATATGAATGTCTTGGCTTCAGTTCATAATGATAAACTAACAAGGAAACACATTCAAATACTAAAACTTATGATTATACACTTTGCTCAACATAATACAAAGTGTTATGATATTTACATGCTGTTGGCAAAATTTAGCAATTCTGCCCTGTTTTTGGAAAAAATCATAGAAAAATCATACGAAGTCGAAAACTAGATCCGTAAATTCTGAGAGTTCACAAAATGTGTCTAGTTTGCTCATAATTTTTATCACAATTTATAATGACCTCTAACTTGGTGAAAAAGTCCAAATCACAGACTGGTCCGGATTGTTGTTTGAAATGATAGGGCAGTTTTGTAAAAACACCATAAATTGTAGAAAATCGTATGGAGATGTGCAAGTAGTCATTTTAAAGCTACAAACTTGAACTATTTGCACCTTGTACAGTTTTGAAAACAAAAATGTTTTAAGAGGCCCAAAACAGTCCGTGAATGGAGTTGAACTTTTCTGATGAAGGCTGTTATAAAAATTTAGTTATGTTCTTAGTGTTTTAACTTGTATTCCCCCCCTGAAAACTTGAGAAAACATGAAAATGTAGGGGTTATGAACTCACCTTGAGTGATTTCAGTAGATGAGTGTTGAAGAAGAGAAGTGTTCAACCCAAGAAACACTTGAAGAATCCCTTGAAGATTCGAAGCTCTAACGTTAATATGATGGAGTTTGTGTAAGATATTCATGATTTGAGTAGAATGAAGTGAAATAATCATAAGGAGGGTGAATTATACTTA